GGGGGGGGGGAGATGAGAATTAAACCTGGTCCCACAGCTCCTCCCTTCGACGGCGGATAGCAGGGCGAGTCGATCGCGTTAGAGACATGCCAAAACACTGGAACCCGATAACCTGAGCGAGTCATCTCTACCTGACCTGCGCCACACGAGGCTCACGAGAGATGGGTGGCACGAGATAACGACGCACAGACAGACGTATCTCCCCTCGCCGGCGCCGGGAGTTACGGCGCTCCATACACGCAACCCCCCGCTCATAATCCCGTCTCTCTCCCACTCATTGCGCTCACGCAGATCGACAAAAATCAGAGCAGCGCGCATGTCCCGAGAGAGCTGGCCGGGAGAGCAGCTCCTCCGGATCGTCGAGACTGACGGTAAACAAACGCTGTGCGAGGGGTAGAGAGAGAGAGAGAGAGAGAGAGAGAGAGAGAGAGAGAGAGAGAGAGAGAGAGAGAGAGAGAAAGCCTGTGGACGATTGGCAGCGATAGGCGAATGAAAGAGGAAAAGTATGAATGGGTGGATGAAGACGAAAGAAGGCGCCGATGTTAAATTGATCGCAAGGAAACGAGGGATGAGCCGAGCTGGGGCCGCAGCGCAGCCTCCGATCGGCGTGTTGGCGCAATGCTCACTTCCTTCTCAGAAAACCGGGCGGGTTTCCGCGAAGTTGCACCGGAGAGAAGAGAAGTGAGATCACTGGCTCCGGCCGAGTCCGAGCAGGTCGAGTCGTTGGGAAAGAGAGAGAGAGTCGGAGATGCGTCGGTCGTGACGTCGCTCGAAAAAGTCCAAAAATAATGTTTTACTAATATGGATAACGAACTACGCGACACAGACTAATAAGATTGGAACATTTTTCGCTCGTCAATATAAGGGCGTTGTGCGTTATATGCACCAAACTTCATTTTTTTTTTCTTTTAAATCTAGAGAGCATAAATATTTCTTTCCGGCTTAGTAGACATAACAAAATACTTTTTGAACACAAATGTAAACTGAAGGACGGGAGAGCGACACTGCATTCAGCACTGCAATTTTAACAAAACGATGCTTGTTACAGTGACTGTTGATGCATCTCCTACTTGCTGTTACTTTGATGCCGCTGCCATAGGCGCACTCCCAACTCAGATGCGGCCGTCTTTTCTCGTCCTACATCGCGGCCATTATGTCTTAATAGAACTCGGCCCCTAAGAGGCACACACACACGGGCGCGCTTCTCTCCTGCCCGGGCGTTCCCACACGGGGGCCGCCACGCGGGGGCCCCTCCTGTCGGAGCAGAGGAGCACATCGGGCTGCTTACGAGGCGTGCCTGTAGCGCCGACCTGCCGCCGCACCCTCACCTCACACGCCCATAGGGGGCGCACGGGACGCAGCTCGCTCGGACGCAGCCCCATCACCGATTGGATAAAGAGGCTTTGTAACGAGACTAGCGTACGGTGCACGCACAGCAGCAGCCCCCCCTGGGCCTCTGATGGGAGCCCGCGGTGGTGGTGCCCCCAGAAGAGCAGGCGGTCGAATTATAGAGGGGAGCGTGTATTAAGCATGCAGGCTCTATGCTCACTTTCTCAGAAGAAGCCTCGATAAAGGTCACACTCACTGCGGCGGACATAATAGGCGACGAAATTAGCATACCGAAATAAAAGTAATCGGGGCGAACCGCCAATAAGGCAATGACATCGCTTTTACCAATTTATCTTACTTAATTATAGGGTTGCAACGCAGATTACTCAAATGCAAATAAAAAGTTTACGTGGAACTTTTGGACGCAGATGGCCAGGTACAAACTTTCCGCAAAGACAGCCGCAGGGTACTACATAGGACTGCCGCAGGGTGCTGAAGCTAGGGTCGGAAGCCCTGGAAAAGTTCCGAAAAAAAAGAGAAAAATTTCCCCGACCGCGCGGA